CTGCTGCACGCTGGGAGTACGCACGCTACGCTGCTGCACGCTGGGAGTACGCACGCTACGCTGCTGCGCGGCGGGAGTAGCAGGCAGAAGTCGTACTAGGCGGAATTGGCGTGTAAAAAAAAAATTATTGATGTTGAGTCAATAAGGACTCAATTAAAGCACTTATGTAAGTCGCTCTGGCTAAGGGCGTCTGCCAAATGCTGTAAATGTAAATGTTGCGGACAGGAAACGGGAGCCCAACGAACACAATTTGGACTTACAGTCCTCTTCGCTCGTATGTCTGAAAGTTCGTAAGTAGAGGAGTGTCTGTATCTGCTATGTAATTTACAGCTTTAAAATTCAGTTATCAGCTCAGTGTCATCTGCAGCATCGGGGTAACAGTAAGTGTCAGGCATATCCTATGTTTCATGCCTTTGACATTAGTTGGAAAATTAACATTTAAAACTGCAAGCCATAAAACCATTGACACCTGTTCCTGACAGGCACTGTCATTTTTGTGAGCTTAACTGAAAAAAACAAAAAAAAAAACTGTAGTCTGCTTTCATGGCAATTTTAAAAAGGTATTTTAAATAGCTGAACTATTGCTATGGATGTGTCTGCCAAAAGCAGTTTATATTCACATGCTACAAAGACAACTGCTATCTATTCTCTGACTCACACATGCACGCACTGAGCTGAACAGAAAGCTGTTGTTTTGACCTCAGGCTAACATGCAAGTTTAACATGGAAAAAAGACAATAAGGTATCAGAGAGGGCACTGAGGATACTCAGGAAACGACCAATCGCAAGACAGTGCTGCAGATACATTCTTGAACTCTTGCCTGACATTTAAACGTTGATCTACCCAAACACGCACCACAACCCGTACCGACCAAATCATCATGACATCCTGAAACGAACAGAGCTTCAGCTATGATCTGTATTTCGTTACACAGGATATGAACCAAAGCTGGCTAGGTATGCTTACTGTAAACAAGAGGAGGATGTGGTACTACGCTCACCTGCCGGAAGGGTGAACGTGACGAGGTCTGCGAGGAAGTAGCAGGCGAAGTCCCCCTTGCGCTGTTGGAGAGACGCAGCTACCTCCCTCCGGATCTGCTCCGTCAGCTCCAGACTCACCATGGCTGGGATGCGTTTGGCCGCTTGCCCAGAGACCTGGGCACAGTGATACACAGCGGTTACTAGCCTTACGCAAGGCAGTCAAGTAGCAGGCAGCCCTCATTGTCCATCGTGAGAGTTTGGCATTCCACATGTGACGGCCTGTCATGGCAAACTGAGGTACTCTGCAAAGCAGCCATCATGCAAACAGCATAACAGACATCGATCATAGTCACGCACAGCCCAACGTGAATTTCCCCTAAAGGTGAGTAAACAATACTCATCTAGCTCTGACTAAAACCCAGGGTTTTAGCCTGCACTACACTAACAGGAAGACTATTCCATACTCTAACTACACACTGTGTAAAGAAGTGCTTTCTGTTTTATGAATACTACTCTACTCTGAAGGTCCACCCCAACAAGAAACACGGGCACAATAACTAAAATAACATTAAAATATTTTTTTTCCAAATAAACTACATTAATTAAACTTAAAATGGTAAATAATATAAAATGGATACCTTGATTTTAATTAAACCTTTGTCAACACTTTAGTGACTGCTTGAATTTTAAATAAATAAATACTTTCTTCATTCACATTTAATCAGCCTTACCTCAGCCTAACACCCACAAAAGTGCTGTGTGGGTAAACAAAAGGTCAATAAAAAATTTTTTTGCAATGGTAACCAAACACTTTTCTTATAATCTATTTAAAGGTTCTTCTGACTGTATGAGTGAATGGTGTGTGAGTGTATGGTGTGTGTGTGAGCCCTGCGATAGGTTGGCGCCCCATCCTGGGTTGTTCCCTGCCTTGCGCCCATAACCTCCGGGATAGGGTCCAGACCCCCCAACCCTGAATAGGATAAGCGCTAACAGAAAATCGATGGATGGATGGATGGGTGGATGGATGGGGTTCTTCTGACTGAGCCTAACTTGCCAGGCCAAAAGTTGCAGTGAGGTGTCCCTTAATTAAGATCCTTCCTTTCCATCCACGCTTTACCTCTGTGAGGAGCACGGCCAGCATGTCCTGCCTCTGGAAGCGGATGGCCAAGTGGACCAGCGTAAAGCCCTCGTCGAAAGCGGACGGTCGATTCAGGAGGTTTGCCTCCTCAGCCGTCAGCTGCCTGGAGATGTCCCCCCCCGCCGACTTGTAGGCCTCCACAGGGGGCAGGTCACCCTCCACCACACCTGGGCATGAGACAGGGCACAGTAAATGTATGTGTTTAAAACTCTAAGCACTCAGTGCTGCACGTAGCATTCAGTCACTAATTTTTGGAGCAGGCAGAAATCCTGTAACAGCTGCTTTCTTCATTGGCTTCAGTTACCTGAGACAATGAGTAGCAGAACAAGTGGGGGGGGGGGGGGATCTTAAATTCCCCTTTAATACAAATAAAGCTAACAAAATCCTGTACTCAAAAATCAAACAAGCGGATGATGATTTCTAATGACTAGAAGAAATAATTGCTGTTAAAGACATCTGTTTTGTGAAGCAAGCATACTATCAAACAGTCCTCACAAAGACAGTGAGAGGCACAGTTAGGAAAGAAGAGCACACGTGCATCTCTGGGACACGCATTTGTGGGCCTAGTATACTCAGCATCTGTTTCCCCAGAATACGGCAGCATTTCGCAACAATTCACATTAACTGCAGAGTAACACAGGACAGTGGTGTGTGGAAAATGGGAATGACAGGCAGAGGGCTAGTGGACGTGGATGCTGGAATACTCAGAGATCCACCCAATTTGTAGTGTTTCCTCAGTGCTGTAAAGTGACACGTCGGACAACCTTTGCATTTATAGCTGAAACCTAATACTGCAGACAGGACCACATTAATCGGCAAGCCAGACAGAATCTTATACCTAAACATATACTTAAATCTTCTTTAACTACTAAAATTTAAACACCATTGCAAAAAAAACAAAAAAACAAACTCAAAGATTTCAGATTTCAGTAAATTTCAGAACACATAAGCATTGACTGTGATTTACATTTATACAGCATAGTAGCTTTTATCCAGAGAGACGAAAAATTGAGAAAGCAGCGTCATCCCTGGGTCAACTGAAGTGGAGGGCCTCGATCAAGGCCCCTACCGTGACATCACTCAGCCAGCCACGGGATCTGAACCACTAACCTATGCATCAGAGTTTTCATAAGGTTTACACCCAAAGCGAGGTAAATGCTTAAATGCCCACACGCAGTCATCTTTCGTGCACTTGGTTCGGAGCAGGTGTACACCTTGCACGCCGGCCCCAAGAAGGATCAGGTGATTGCTGTTGCGAGCAAGGAGGAGAGAATCATTTTTCGCCACAGAGAATCCAATTATCACTGCAAAAGCAGAGCTCTGAGGCTCCGGCAGCGTGATGCCTTCTAACTACTGCACCTCCACAATCTTCAAAGACCCCCCCCCCCCCCAATCTTTATTTACCCTACAACCTATATCCTTGGCTCACATGGACCTTTCAACCATGATGCTGAGGAGAAGTAAAGAAAATCTGTAGCGCATAATACAGTCGGCAAGTCATTCTACAGATTCACATATCAGAAGAGTGACAGATTAAAAATGCAGTCAAATTCAGCAGCCCATTCCACTGCCAGTGTGACCATTAACCACCAGTGTGAATTCCAAGTTTTGTGTTGCCATGGCAGGAAAAAGTGTGAATTAAGTGTCAACAAACATGCGGCAGAAAATGGCTCAAAAACTGCAGACTGCTGCTGTTTGTTTAAAATGGGAAACAAAAGGACAGACTCGAAGACAAAAGATAATACAAATGATTATGCAACCTAAAACGTAAGGATGCATTTGCATGAAATCACTGATCTTACAGCTTACAGCTACTATGATTGAAATGTATTCTCATTTTATGGTAGATATCTTTGCAATAAATTAATTCCAACCCCTTCATGAACAGTAACTTAAACAAAATCCAACAAAATAGTACTCAAATTCTTATTAGGTTCTTGCAATGTTTAAAAGGTATTGTTTATCTCCTGTTCCAATGCTGTTTACATTTGTACCTGGGCATGCACTGAAAGCTCAGCCTAAATGTGCTTATCTATGCCAAGTTCATTCCTTGACAGCTGCATGTAATATAATGTGCTATTTGCCACATATGCGCATTACTTTGGACAAAAATGTCTACTAAAAAAATAAATGTGATGTAATAGTCCTTGTCGAACCAATGCATTCATGCTTAACCACTTTTCAAATGTAAAATTCGATCCCTCCATTATGTTTTCCATTCACCAAGTACAGTTACAGAACATGCTGAGGTTGCATTGTTTTTATTAAGGTGTTACCATCTGACACGGATAATATCGATAAAAAGGTTGTTGCAGCGAATCACAGCAACCGGGCCAAATAGCTAGCTTATTGGGTTACTGTAGGAGGTCCGGAGGCATATGGTAAAAGGACAGGGAAATGTGATGAAGCTCCCAAAAGGAGACCTTCTGTGCTAGATGTTTGATCCTAAGTGGTTAAAAACCACGCTTTAAATAACTAAGGTTTACATTTCTAGATTTCCTTGAAATTGTCATTCTTAAGCAACTAACTCATTTAATCAATATAAATTAAGAAGGCGAGTTGCCAGCACAAACCACAGAGCTGTCTAGCGGCAGGCCTGCTTCTGTGTATCTGTCCTGTTGAATTCAAGCACAGTGTTAAACGCTACATTGAAAACATGAAAGAAACAGCTTTTTCCATGGAAAACAGATTATTGTTACAAACATGTTCCCGCCAGCAGCTTCAAACAGCACAGAACGTGAACAAATACCCTCCACAATCAGCAAAGCAATATATTCACCACAAAACATTTTTTTAAAGAATCAAGCGACTCTAGGCTTTTCTCCCAGGGAGTGCAAGTTGAGGGAGCAGTTATTCATCCTGATAAATACATTTGTAAAAAAAAAACAATTACATTTACAATAAAATATAATTACACATTGTTATGACTAACATAAGCCTTACAATATGATAACATTTTATATAACTTAATATGTTCAAATGGCATTTTCATCTGACCAGTAGGGGGCGCAATCCTGGTAAAATTGTCTATCATTTCTCCTAAACCTGGCCAATCTGGCCAGCGCAAGCTGACACTCATCTCGGTTTCTTTCTCACCCATCCAAAAACATAAAAGCACATTAACACCTCTGATGCCTCAGGCAGAAATGGGTCCACTAAAGACCAGCTAACTATGATCAGTACCACATCTCTGGACAGCAACCACATTATGCCCACTGCTGGAAGCCCTGAGACACCTAGCAGGAATACCGACGGGATGCAGCTGGCATCCGCCCGTCTCTCCGGGGAGGATGAGTGTTCACCTCAACCAGCATGACGCAAACTCACGTGGTGGGTAGATGAAGCCAGAGGGTGACTGAGGAGCAAGATGCTTATGTTTCCCTGACCACAGACAGCCCAGAAGATGGACACTGCCTCCTCCCGTCCGTAATGCGCTGGAGTGCTGGACCCGTCCCATGGAAGCGTGACGCCGTGGGTGCGGCCTTCAATCTGCCGACTCACGCAGGCCGACGCCGAGAACTGGCGCCCCGATGGACTTTAGTTCTGCCCCTGACCACAGTTTACACTTTGCTTTTGACCAGTTGACCTTGGACTCCCAGAGTATTTTTTCTCCCTACTTAGGAGTTTTTGGTTCCTCTCCTCTGTTGTCTTCTGGCTTTCATTTTTGTCTTTCCCCTTTGTCCCCAGTTTCATGTGTTATTCTGTATAAATGAAGTAGTAACAAACTACCGCACATCCACGTCAAGTGCTTTGGCTGACTCTGTTATGAAAGACGCTATATAAAAATAAATGAAACTGAATTGACATACTGCCAGTGAATTCAGAGCTGGACACAGTCACTTGAAAACGGAGCTAATTTCTCATCAGCTGATCCAAACCCCCTTTTTACCTGCCTTTTCAACCCCCCCCCCTTCCTTGAATAAATTCCCCCTTACTTGCCCGCTACAGCCTTTGGAAACCGTAGATTAACATTTTGCAACATTTTGACATAAATGCAGATATTCCTGAGAGACAACACAATAAATAGCTTTAAGTATTTAAAATCAGTCACTGTAATCATATAAACATGCTGAAAAAGAGAGAGATTGAAAGTCACACAACCAAAACTCCTAAGAGAACGGCTTTTTCAAATTATTCCAGCCATAAAACATCATAATGCTACGATACCACATTTTACACTGGGAAACAAATTAAAAAAAAAACTCTTCTTTTGTTTTGGAAAGATTTTCTGTCTTGAATTTGTCAAATCTGAAAGGCAACTAAAATCAATCATCAGCAATGGATTTCCTTCTTAAAAAATTGCAGCTGACTGAAGCACAACACCTTCTACATTTGAAATTAGTTTCCCGATGCGAGAATCGGCGAGGTCATGGTTAGGGAGCCGGCCCAGAGCGGCTACTCACCTACACAGGCATTGAGAAACAACAAGTCTGTCTTCCTCAACCTGTTTTGAATCAGCTTCAGCTCTTTTAAGCTGTTTTCCTTCTCCTCCTTGCTGCCGCTGCTGCTGCTCGCAGCTGCCAGCTCGATTCTCTGGAAGTCCACGGTTACCGCCGGCTGGCTCTCAGGATTGGAGGAGGACCTCCTCTGCTCCCCGCTGCAGCATCCCTGCTGCTGGTCCCGTTCGTCGGTGGCGGCGAGGGAACAGTCACGCTTGGGTTGCCCTAATGTCCCCGGTTCACTAGACCCACAAGCTGTACAGTGCTGCTCATGAGCCGGGGGCTTGTTGCGGTCATTGTTTGCCGCGCAGAAGTCCGTCAGAGGGGGTGACGGAGACGTCGGTGGCTGGGACACAGGTCCCGGAGTCTGGATCACCTCGACGGGACTGCAGGACCGCTGACAGAGGCACTGCGTGCACCTCACTGCACGCGGCCAGTTCAGGTAGGTGCAGATGTGGCAGGACCATTTGGCAACTGCTTCATGGGCAATCTGATCAGGGCATATTAGCAGGGCAGTGTCCCTGCTGGGAGGAGAGGGGCCCCAATCTCGCCAGGGCTTTCGAGCCCAGCCACTCTTGAAGGGGTCCTCGGTGATGATGGTGCCACCGGGTCTCACGGCTCGGCACATGGTGCACTTGATTGCAGACGGCCAGTTCTCGTACGTGCAGTACTCACAAGCCCATTTCGAACCCGGCTCTGTCATAGCGAGCGAGTCACCCTGCGCGCTCGGGCACAAAGCTGCAGAAACAAACAAGCATATTCATAAACCGCTTTACTAACACCATACCTACGTTGCAAGACCTAGAAACATCTCATACAGCAAAACTTGAAAAGAGGAACCTTATTTATAAGGCAGCAAATCTGCAAAACATATTTATATATTGGCAGACAAATAAACGACTACACTGGCCTATGTGAAGTGATCACTTTTTTTTATTTGCACAATGACTAGAGTGAGAGACAGAAAAAAAAGAATATGCATTGTTTAGTATCACGCATCTGCCAAAAAGGAATATCAAATCATAATTATGCACCGCGATTCTGAAATAAATAAATCCAAATAGCTTTTATGTAACTCTAAGCTTCTGACCAGAAATCCCAAAACAAATGCTCCCCAGAGTATTCAGCATTATGAAGCAGAATAACTCTATATTATAGACTTGCTGACAGAAACTGTCACCATGGAATTCCCAAAAGATGAGGCCAAAAAAAAAGAAACTTCAAAGAAATCATACCTGATTATATTTAAAAGGAACGTAGGCATTAAGTTAGGCAAGTAAGTCCGACACCAGCCCTTTAGAGTTAAAATAATTCATTATTAATATTATATGAATAATTAACTGTTCATTTTTTTAACAATCCTGCAGATCGTTCTTAATTATTGCTGACGCAAAACAAAAACATGATTTATATTGGGAAGTTTTTTGACCTTGTTATAAACAGAACTTACTAATGCATCTGAATATTATTATTATTATTATTATTACAACAATAATGGCGACCAGGTACGAGTCCTTTAATTCTTCACGATTGCCAAAACCGTACTTATAACCAAAAATAAAGGAAATATCTTTTGCTATGCACTTCCTCAAAGTTAAGACAAGTTGTAAGAAACTCAACTGAAGTAACGCCCACCGCTCCATATAAACAGGTAGAATAACTCCTGTCAAATGTGAATGCGTATGGTCATTTTAAACACAGCCATTAACCTGGTCATAATTACAAGGCACTTTGGTACCAATCAGAGCTATCAGAAGTATCTCCTGTGTATTTTACTTCCCAGAAGACGAAGCTTTTCTCGAATACCTCTGAAATCCAACATGCCACCGGGTGGGTCCTGTACAAGACAGGGCTCCATCGGCGTCTGCTCAGTGTCTATAAGCTTACCTTACAGCAACATCATGAGGCTGACAGATTCTCCTGACACGATCGCTGTCAAACTAACAGCTGGTACTGTAAATGACAGCTTGTTGATTGTTTGGTTGAATGCAGCGCAACGCAATTGAAAAGATTTCAATTGTGAATGGCGGCTTAATGGCATTAGTTACATGCTCTGCAGACGCTTTTTGACATGTAGGCAGGCCCTTACATTTTGTAGTGTTTACCCTCCTTTCCCAGACTGCGCCTCACGATCCTCCGATTGGCCAGCCCTTCCACCGTCCTCTTCGGCTTGTCCAAATGCGATCCCGATCGCGTCCCGTTTCTCTCCAAGTACTGCAGTCAGCCAGCTACATATTTACCATTATATATAATGCAGAAATAAAGGAGCTACTCGCGCTCTAAACGCCACCCCTTATAGCCTCTCTATTAGGATTTTAAACCATTGTGATCCAGATCCAGTAAATACCACCTACGGTAGCAACCGGGAAGCCAAATAAGCCAAAATAAACCTTCAACAGGGCCCTTGGTAAAGGGGTGTGTCTGTGGCGTTGCCACATGGATGAGCCAGTGAACATGATTGGATGCTTTTCTATGCGGCATTTTATCGGCCAATCAGCGCTCTCGTCTGGGCTTGCCTGTAGTAAACTGCTACTTCATAGCGTGTCCGGATGCGACTGAACTAACCTGTATCTTATTATTAGCCGCACTTTACACATTACATCTGCGCGGAATCCATATGAGCGAGACAGTGTACTTCCCTAAGTGTGTCGTCGCCTTAGCCAGAAGTCACAAGTAGTAATCGTGGTAATAACTTGCCCAAATGAGCAGTTAGGTCCACTTAACGACCTGTTTGTAAGAATCTCCTATTTCTAGGTAAACACTGTACTTTAATACATATATACGTGTGTATATATATTACTGTTTATCAGACACACACATAATATTATATTATGAACGATGATTTTTCAATCATGTTCGTCATTTGGAATTTCCAGGTACTTTAGTAGATCCTTTAGAATGCCCAGATGTAGCCTATAATTAATTTATTCTGCTCAAACTAATCAGTGCTATACTTGCAGCATTATGCAGTAATAAAATGATACACATAGTAAATCAAAAAGGCCAAGTATCCGTAGTTACTTTATTATGCCATACATATCAAGTTCAGACTGAGGTGAAATATCTGCAAAGTAACCTGTTCCAGTTGTATAAGCAATCTATGTATGCCACTTCTCCACTTTGATACAGGTACCCGAAAATAAGAGGTGAGTAAAGCATGAGTTTGTGCTTGGAAATAAGGTGGATCGTCAAAGACGCAGAGTGAGGCAGTGTCACACAGATTTAAGTACTGAACTCCAGCACTCCTGCAAGATATTTTAGTTTTGAATAAGACGGGGAAAGACAATAATTATTAAATACAGTACTGTTTAATGTGTTTTTCATATACACGTTCTGATTATTTTCAGCTTTTCTGTAGGAAAGACATTCATTGTTCACAAACAACTTGCTCATTTGAACTGTAGGTTTACCGTCGTCATCATCATCATCATCGTCACCAAACATGGATCTATCTAAAAGTGTTAACCTTAGACGCGGTCAGATGGTTGCCGTTATTTAAAATGTTAGAATGCTAAAATACTCTAAAGCAGAAAAAGCCCCAGCTTTGGGTTGCGAAAGCTTTCTCTTTCACAAACGACAGACAGAGTAAAGCTTCTGACCACAATGTTCACCTAGACTAATGGCTATTCTTATTAAATTTAAGTTGACAGCAGCTGATTCTGTTCTCTCTATAGCTTTCAGTGCGCAATAATATCAATAAACAATTCGGTTCTCCATGCGTGGCCTGTGTATGACGTCCTTTGAACCCAGGACCTGCACGTTTCTGCTTTGCGTCACCAAATCCCAGGCCATCTTCTAGCCAAGCACCATTTTGAATAATTCTTCTTGGTGTCTGACCACCCAACATGAGGATTTAGTGATAGAAAGGCACCATGACTCTAACAAGATCTCATCACATCTGTTTCCACTCCAACACTGGCTCAAATTAAGGCCATGGGGTTCATTTATTGTATTAGGACATTGTTCAATGCCTGAACCCCCCGGACTCAATCCAGCCCAGTCCAGAGTGCCACAAAGTGTCTCCCTTTCACACCGATGTCTCATCTCAGTTGCAGAAACAAGCAATTAATATTAGTGATAATACAAGCAGTGTTAGCAATTTCCTTTTCAGCATTAGCTCTCAAATGTGTCAAGAGACTACTGCCTAATGTTTTCTATTAGCAAGCTACATAGTGCTTGATTCTGTATATCCCAAGTACTACACAAAGGACAATCCTATCTGGACCTAAAGATAAAAGCTTACTGTTTTTGGCACAACTAAACAGGACTGGCAAAGCACGATAAAGAATCCGGGAAAAAAACTGAAGTACAGTAAAGAGCTGAAAATATCCGTGATTTGATAAATGTACATTGCGCCATGGTAAAGGGTAACCATGTTATTTTGTAGTATTAAAATAAGCACCCCTTATTGTAACTGAGTGAAACCTCCATCCGAATTCACTTTGTTAGAGAAATAGGCAGCCACGATTAATAAGACTACAGTATATGAATGTTAAAGGAATAAAATGCTAATGACAGTCCTTAGTCAAGTGTAAGATAAACGTGCAAGCTAATGCAATATATATATGTATATACATATCTACATACATACATATGTTAGATAACCACCAATTTGACTCTTTAAAGGCCTCAAAAAATGAATTCCCTTTAAATAAACAATAAAACAAGGCAAAATAGTGCAAGAGGTAATGGTACAACTTGATGCTATCTGTTGGTAGCAGGTGTCAGACATTAATCCAGAGCATTAGCCTATTTCAGTGGTGGGGCCAAACCCGGTCTACCCACCATAGCACCCCCTGCAGGTTTACTCCATCAATCTCCAAACAACTTTCCTCTGAAAGAGATTTATTTCAAAGGGATTTTTTTTTAGACCTTCACCAAGGCAAAACTGGTCCAGTTTCCCCAGAAGCCTTTTTCTGAGAGTCACAACTGGCAGCCTGGACTCCCTAGCATAATTCAAAGAAACAAAAACGATAATACGACCTATGAGAACACAGCAAAGCCATCCACGCAAAACCTTTTACTGCCAAGGCCGAGATTCCCCCAATCCGTGGGGATGCACAGCTTCCCAGCGCAGCGTGCGACGTCCCCGTGTTCATGCCTAGGAGCTCGGAGTGCTGTGCGAGTCACCATCAGGTCTGAGAGAAGCCGGCCGGCCCTGACTGGGCGGCAGCGTGACGTCCCCGGGTGACAAGGACAGCTCATTTTCTAGGTTCTCACAATCGTTGCTCTCCTCTTCCTCATCCTCATCCTCCTCGTCCTCCTGGCCAGCAGCCCGCCTGTCCAAGGAGTCCAAACTGGACCCGTCGCCCAGCGGCAGACTCAGCGGGTGGGGGTGTCCTGGTGAGCCCACGGCCTGAGGTCTGGGGAGGAAGACGACGTTGGCCTTGCTGCCGAGCACCGTGGTGGAGTCGCGGCCGACCACGTCCGAATACAGCGGCGGCATGTCCGAGGTCCCCGGTCTCTCCAGGCCCATCCGCTCCAAGGTGGCGCTGCGGAAGCCAATCCTGGACGTCACAGAAGAATCGGAATTTTCCAGTACAGATGCGCTCGACTCCACAGTTTCTGCGGCTTCTAATTCCTGGAGTCCTGTAAACAGAGGTGACCAAAAATAAATAAAACTATTTTTGTTGTTGCTAGCACTTACTTATCCCGTACAAAATCTAATTTTATAAACCCTACAAAAATCAAAGTTAGCCAAAGTAAAACAAAGCAAATCATGAAGCCACTGGTCACCCAACCATGCATTCATGCACAAGCAGGGATACAAAACTGGATTCTTGTCTGTGTGTGACCAGCTGTGGACAATTTAGGTAACTAAGAGGCAAAAAATCACCTCATTACATGTTTTTGGACTGCAGTAGGAAACTAGACTACACAGGGAAACAAGGCAGGGAGAGAGAGATTCATGCAAACTCAAAACAGACACACACAAATGCCAAAGGCAGATTAGGTATCTATCTTTGTGGACACTCCCCATTCATTTCTATGGGCATAGACCTAATCCCAATAATGACAACCCTAACTTTAACCATAAGTAACTAAACAAAACACAAGACATTTGGCTATTTTAGTTTTTTTGATTGCATTCACTGATTTTTTTTTTTCCTTTTCAAATTGAGTTTCCCCACGTGGGAACTGGAAAAAATTCCCCACACGGTCAAAATAACAGGTAATCATCACATTGTGGGGACATCTGGTGACCATGCACGCACACGCACATGCGCACACAAAGTTCATACATTCCTGTCATTGTGGGGACCCTCCATTCATTTCTAACCTTAATCTTTAACCATAGGTAACCAAAGAAAATAGAAGACTTTTGGCAATTTATAAATCTGAGGTTTATATTGCGGGGACCTTAAAAATGTCCTCACATTTAATTTTAACTTTTAGCCAAGTCTTGTACAGCAATAGTGCTACCTACTGTCTCATCACACTGACAAAGTTCTATCAAACATCCAAAATACACACACAGTGGCTAGTTTATTAGGTACACCTTAACGCATAAAGCATAAAGTTCCAATCAGCAATGTACATAGTTGCAACTGAACGCATACCACACAAAGTACATAGACAGGGTTCAGAGATTCAGTTACCGTTTGGCTAAGCATTAGAAGGACCAAGATGTGTGATCAACGCGATTTTGAATGTACAGTAGTCTGACTGTTGACACCAGGTTGTTGCAACATCTCAGAAGTATCCCCCTCCAGTGAGGTCAGACTGGAATGACCAGGCTTCTTAAAGCGATATCCCCATAGTGGTTCTGGAGGCAAAATGGGTTCTACCCAGTACTAGCTAGCCTTACCTAATAAGGTGACCCCAGAGTAAACTGTCTGTGACAAAATTCCAGCAGAAGACTTACTTCTTTCTTCCTCTGCACTCTTTCTTTTTCTGAGTGCTATTTCCTGTTTGAGTCTGTTTACTTCATCCTGGATTTTTTCTTTCACACGTTCACTCTGTTCAACCTCCCCACAGACAGCCTACAACAATAAGAGGACCAATAAAGACAACAGTGTGTGCCCCAACACCGTAGACTCGACTGACACAGTTACAGAAGATGTGGTTCTACAGTTACTACGAGATGCTGACATGCCAATACTCTCATGACACGTCTGGCATAGGTTTTGCATGCGTGTCACAAAACACATGAAAGTGATTTTGAAAGTTTTCCGTATCTTTCAACGGCGTAAAGCTTACCTGAACCTTTTCTTGAAGTGCACTGTACACCTGAAATATTGTTCTGATATCCTTCATTACTCCATCCTTGTCAAAAAATTCAGCCCTGGAACAGACATCCATATCAATATGTTAAACTGAGCATTTCACAGACCGTATCTGAACAATAAGCAGAAATACACAGCCACTAGCTTGCTCCCTAAAGAGTTTAACAAAACTTAATCTACATTACTGTCTATTGCCTTTGCAATCCAGAACTTTGATATGTGACTTGATACATGTACAGATCATGCTTTACGGTGTTATTATTGTAATTATAACCGGCCAAATGACAAACTGTCAGTATTCTATAGCCATTTAGCACAGAGTAGTGTCTGATAAACAGTAATATTTTAATTTGGGCTTCTAAGGGTTGTGTCCAAAAAGGAAAATGAACAATGATGCTTTGATTATAGGCTACATTTGTTAATATAAAAAAAATTAAAGTAATTTGATAGCAGCTCTGGCACCTCCCCCAGTGCCTTGAGAGTGGCAGGTTGGAACTTCATAACCTTGAAGAACTGCTCCAGTGGTGCTGAACACAAGCTAACCCTTTTCTCTGACTGCAAAACTTGCTTTCGCCTTCATATACAGACATTGGTGACACCTTGTCATGGAGAGCAAGTCGGTATATGTGAAAACTATCCAATTTGCCGAAAGAGCTTGAATTGCTATTCTATTCTATACTGTTTAAACGTGTAAAGATTCAAATTATTTTTCACACCAAATTTATTATATAATCATTTTTGATTCATGTTAAAAATCACACTTCACTCTAGTTAACAGACCATTTTCATACAAAACTGCTGAGAGATTCAAGTATAAAAGAACAAATTAATGTTATATCCCTTATTTTCTTCCTAGTTATGTAAATTTGATGATATAATGTATGTATGAAAGAATACATCATGAACAGCGTTTGCAAGGAAACCTGGATTCTGCATAACTGTCTCATGTAAACACTGTTTGAAAATGAAATTTTACCACTGGGATGGTTTTATATACGTTTGTTTGCATATTTCAAAACAGAGACCTTCGCAGGACTGCTAACAGCGGAACACCAAAGTGCATGGGGCTACATAGTTAGCTGCGGACGAACATGATTCACGCGGAATCACTTCTACACAATGCTAGCATTTTGATTGTCTGCTTATAGAATCTGCCCACCACGCATTTGTGTATTTTGTCAGCACAGGGCCCACTGCACACCTTTTAGTTTGGCTCTTTCCATATTTGGTGAACTGTAAATCACATTGGTGTCCCAAAGAAAAGCCAGGTAACCTCCGTTAGCTACCCCACCAGACTCAAAGCGATCACTCACCCCTGTTCTTTGATCACCTTGGCGTAGTTCAGTGACGTGTTTGGTACCGATGATACCTTATACTCCTGCTGGCTGGTGTTGCCAAGGTTAGGGATGCTGAGGGAGACCCTTTGATTGTACCTTCAGGACGAAGAGCACAAACAGGCTGCACTTAAGATCCCCGCCTCGTCAGATACGACGCATGTTAAATGATCTGTCCTGAAGCTACATGCCCTCAGGCAAACAAAAAGTCAAGGCATCACCAAGAGCGAAACTCAAGATCTTAATCTCGGAGGTAAAGCTGGAAGTCAGTGTCTTGGCAGTAATATGAACAACCCATGGCAAAGATGAATTAGGCATTCAGCAAAGCCTGTAGTGTGTGTACAACATGACTAAACATTACCACCAAGGACCTGTAGCGTGTAAGACGACCTTTGGCCTGTAGAACAGCTTAAATTTAGCTCTGAATGCAGTCACATGCTTTAAGCAGTGTGTGATGAAATGTTCCTCAAGAAAAAAAGGCTCAGGGAACTGGGATGAATCTACTGCTTACGCTCCGCCCCAAAACATCCCATAAGTATATGGAAGTCATGTGACTTCATCCTAACATTCATAAAACAACTTTTAGATTTGTTGAGCAGTGTATATGGAAGTATTAACATCCTGGAATATGAGAACATCATGAAGGAACAGTGTTGCATTATGACGTCATATTCCTTGGCTATTATACAACCATGCAGAGAAACTATTGGACCATAAGCTGTCTGCCCATAGCAACAGACACTGTGGGCGGAATGCAACCTTTGTCTTTCTCTGAATATAAACCCAGCGAGAAAGAGGAAAGTAGCTGAAAGATGATCCACTGGACCATATGAAGTTTTTTTTCAATACTCAGGGATCTAGCTATTAGGCTCCTTAAACTGGGTTATATGTCTGTGCCCATCAGCCTTGGATACAAGAAGGTTTTTTGAATGACAGCTCAGTCATAAACACCAGCTTAGTGAAGCTTACGGTATACAGTCTTTGTTGAGACTCAGTATTATGGACATTTTTGAAGACTTGCAATCATTTTTCTGCTTTTCGGATGCAGAAAACCTCACAATATCTTAATATACATTTCACACATTAATTATAGATATTTTTTGGTTAGTTTTAATTACTACTCAATAGATCTGTATCAACATTCCAGGGTATTTTCTTTCAAGGGAGTTATAGAAACCAAAACCGATACTCATTGTTTAGGGTTCTTGAGTGCAAATATTATGGTTACTGTAACAGAAAGACAAAACGGAATGATCGAACTTGAGATGGACATGACCATACCGTTTGTTTGGCCTGAAGAGCACATACTCTAGCGCGTGCGTCGAGTTGTTGGCAGTGGAGATGAAGCTGAAGAGAAGGAAGACAAGGTCGGGCACACCCAAGATCTGTGTCAGCTGCTTGTGGATGATCTGTTCCCTGAATGACATTTGTTGCTGTGTGTTTCTTCTGAACCGGTACCAGCCAATGACATTCTGAAGAGAACATACATATGGTTTTTTTTCTAACAATTCATCATTTGAGCCAACAAATGTCTGTTGCACAGCTTTATTAGATTGTGGTCCATCCATCCATCCATACATCCATCCATCCATCCATCCATGCTCGCTTGTCCTAAGCAGGGTCGTGAGGGTTCCAGAGCCTTTCCCCGAAGCTATTGGTGCAAGGCAGGATGGGGCACCAAACCATCGCAGGGCACACAAGCCAGACACCCACACATTGACACCTATGGGTGAATTTGGTAACTCCAATTCACCTTAACATGTTTTTGAATTGTGGGGGGAAACAGGGGAACCCAGAGGAACAAGAAAGACTATTAAAAAGAAAAACACACAACAACAGATGGCAGAAAAACAGGTATTAAAGACAAAGATTTGTAGTTGTCATGAGCATAGAATTTAACCAGAAATGTGTACATCAGTTTGGAAAAAAGCATCAGCTAAAAAACAAAGCTTATATTGACATAACTTTATCCAAGGCCGTGGGAATGGGGCCGTTGTCTAGGTCAATGCAACAAAGCAGCAAAACTTACTTTTCTTCTATCTTTGAGAATTTTGTTGAGGTTCACTTCACTCACTTTACCTGCGTAGTCATAAAAGCTGAAACAAGAGGCAGACTGATTAATATTCACTTTGTAACACTTGAACCTTGCCCTGGTATGCTTTTTCCACAGTTAATTTAACAATATGACCAGCTAAACTAACAGACAAAACAGCAATTTAATTTAAGATGTTGACAAATGATCAAATAAGTGAAACGCTTATGGAAATGTATAAAGACATCTTACCTAAATAGTTGTGCACAAGGTTCATGGTTATGGATTTCTGTAAATATACAGTATATATGAGGAAGAATTCTACAGAATGCATGAAAACACTGAATTTCAACACCGATTGTACGTTAATACTATTATCTTTATTATAATAATAATTTTTATTATTATTACTACTACTATTATTTTTTCTTGTTGTTGTTATTACCGTTTCATGTCTCCTCACAGGGAACCACCTAACCTCATGGCCTATGTTTACATATACGAGCATTGGTCACTTTGTGTAATACCACCCCTAGGTCTTAATATGTGGCTGCTATTTGATAGTGTGTGTGTGTGTATATTATTTATATATAAAAAATATGCATTGTATTATATAAATTATATAAACATATATGCATAAACATATATATGCACACAATATTATTTGTATATATACAAAATATGCATTATATTATATATACACATACATGCATAAACACATATTTATACAATGTTTATACACACACAATTTTATATTTATATACAATTTTATGTCCCTTCATACTGTGCTATTATGTTGTATTGCCTTATTCTGTTCATAACTGCTGCTATAATGCTAAAATCACCTTTTGTTTTGCAGAAATGATGAAAGCTGAAAACTGCTCTTTTGCTTAACATTTATTTCACCATATATAAATAACAAAGAGAAAGACAAAGGTTGCATTACTTCTATTAATAAACCTTGCTTAATGAAATTAAGTAGGAACGGAGATCTTACCAACTACTTGGAGAAATTCAGTGTTGCTGATCTGAGCATCACTTATGCTAAACGATTCCTCTTGCCTCACTTCCCCCAGCAAAAAACCTTCCTACAGAAAATAACATCTTTGTTACACTGTTACATTGCAACACATTTAAATCTGGTCTGTAGTTTAAGTCCACTGAAAAATAACTATAAAATTATTACTAAAACATTACATGATAAGGAAAAACAGGAATGACTCATTTCTAACAAAACATTCAGCAAAAACACCATTACTAATAGACGTGACTGCAACAGAACAATAAATCAAAATAGTTCAATGAAATGACAGAAATCAGTCCCAAAGTCAAAAAAGAATATCAGCAAGCTGCCTTTCATTATGGCATCATCAACTACCGGACATGTTCCTGATGAATTTCCTGGGGTTCAGTATAGAGTCATAAATCAAGGCACATAAAAACTGTAACCCGGGACCTTATGGGAGCACAGCCCCACTGCCTTAGGAAGAAGGTAAAGCTTCCAAACTTTGCTGATTATTGCTGTTTGCAGACTAAGGGAAAAAAACTTAAAGCATTCAAAGAGATCTAAAATATTTAAGTAAAACAGCACTAAAACATTACACATAAAGCTGACAATGAAGAAAATCAGCCAATTTAGTTGTCAAGTAAATCAGTACCTGAAACACACAGAACAAACTTTAAACACAGAACTAATTGGTTAATAATGAGAACATATCAGTGCTGCATTTGTTGATCAATGGAAAAAGTCCTAAGCTGATAAAGCTGTGGCCCTTTACCACACTAACGGTATAACATCTGGGACCAAGAAGAATCCGGTCGAGTGACAGAAAGTCCTGAGAATTCATTCACACACCTACTGACATCCAAGAATGACCCGAAATGAGACCATGCTCCACTATATACAATATAACTAAAAATGTCTTCTGGAACCTGGTTAGATAAATGTAATTATACACTTGCAAAGGACAAGATGTGTCTACAGTGGTGCAATATCTCGTCCACTGGTTTACTTTAGTCTTTTTATTAAATACCATAAAGAAAATAAGAACTTAATTGAACATACTTTAAACTTCTTACACTAAGGACTGAATTGCAAAAATACAGGTAAAGATGATATCCAACAGATCTCCATATATGGGAAATGTAACAGATCATCAGTGGCATCTGTTTGCCCATAACTCAATAGAAGCTTGTCAGTTCCAGACTATGGGCACACAGGATTTCCCTTAACATGTAGAAGCAAAGCTTTTTCATTTACAACTAAACAAGAGCTATACAAGCAACTTCAGCGTTTTTTTTCTGGAAACTAATAATTTGCTTTCATGCAATAATCTGGAGAACAGTCAGGATACCAGCCATCTTAAAACTGGCAAAATAATTCATGCTAATTTCTGTGACGACATATACACCAATCTTTGCGAATTTTACTAAATGCACCAATTCAATAAATTCCTAATTTAAAATTATTTTTTTTAAAAACTCACAAACTTATACCAGAATATCAACCAGATGATAAATAACTATGTTATTGACTGATGTTTACTAATTAGCGAGCTAAACGAATAGACGTTTACTATTGACGTTGAAGCAAAACAAAACGCTTCTCTTTCTGACCAAACTAATTATCGTCTCGCAGGGCACATTGCTCTCAGAGGCTTGACCCCTTGGTCAACCGACTTTCTGTACATATATGTGGTTTTGTATAGATATAAATTAATATTTGAACAATGGCACAAAAACACAAATCTATAGTCGACTAAATCCAGCTATACGACAAGACACAAAACATTAGTCGCAAAATTACTATCAGATACCAAGTTAACTAAGAAGATAGCCCAGTTATTTAGCCAAATCTGTCACTGTGAGGTGCAGCATAGGAAGATGACACTGGAGAAACTTGATACCCTTCACATAAAGCACCGAAAATGACCAAACAAACCAGATAACTCAACATATCCCTCTCAATTTCGATCAGCGACTTGGAATACTTACGTGGTCGGAGTTGCTGTTAGCACTGTGATAACACACAGAACTGAAAGTATAACCTGAAATGGAAGCCGCCATAATGGAAGCTTCCCCACCTGCCCCACAATCCCCTACGGTCTAAAACCTCATTACGTCATGAACATCCGGTATGTTTTCAAAGTATTCTGGGTTATGTAGGCAGCGTGAAAAATAATTGACGTTCAGTATGCACATATCAGGTACATTATTTTGCAACTCATGTATTTTATAATAAAGGCACTTTGATATAATTATTTTATTTATTCAACTTTTATTATTTTTTTTGTTTATTTAACGGGATCCCTGTGTCCGTGCTGATAATGCTACTTCCTGTGCCTTCCTGGAAGGCGTGTCTTCTGACAGCATGGATTCGAAATTCAGCTCGCAGACTTGTCACCATGCTGCTAGATGCGATGAAAAAGAAAAAGAAGATGAATACTTGGGCGAAGACTTCTTGCCTTCAAAGCTGGGAACAAAAGAGTAGTAAGTAAATAAGCATTTAATTGTGTAGATCAAACGTTAGTGCCTGAAAGTTGTATAACTGTTTCGCGAGTTTAGCCCAGTACTGCATTCTTATCATTAGTAAACAATTAGCTGTTTCAAACAGCATAATCAGCCATCTACTTAAAAATCAGTTAAGTTGTTCGATTGCCACTTTTTATTCTATTAATTTTCAATAGCTACTGACCTAATAAGCTGCGCTGTGGTGGGAAGCTTATCCTGGAGCATAGGTCGTAAAGCAGATACGGTAAAGGGTAAATCCACCCTGTTCTGTCAATATATGCTGCCTTGTCGAAAAATGCTACCGTAGTGCTAATCGATAGCCCTAACCCTAACTCCCCAAAACCCCCTAAAACCCTTACCTTAACCCCTAAAACCTAACCCTAATCTCAAGACGGTGGAACTGCACATGCGCAGAAAGGCTCGATATCACGTCTCGATAGGTAGTATTTTATGACAGAACACCGGCACTAGACACATTTTCAGTATGGGCGATTTACCGACATTTATCCTTGGACTGCAGGGAGGAATCGGAGCAATCCCGCGAAATACGGAGAGAAAATGTGACAACTCATACACACAGCGTGTGGGTTCATGTCCTTAACCTTTTATTATATATATATATATTATTTGTCTGTGTTTTAGTTGGGATGATGCCTATCAAAGAGAATTGCAAGCATTCGAAGACATAGGGGATGTCGGGGAGATATGGTAAAAAATCTTACTCGGTGTTTGCACATTTTGTGAGCAGCAAAATTAATCTATATTTTAATGTATCAGACGATATACAGTACGAGAGGTTAGTTTACATAAAGTGTGTGTTTGTTTCCTTCTAGGTTTGGAGAGGAGAGCATGGGACGTGTAGTCAGGTGGCTGGACAAAATGAAAATCCCAAGAAATGCCGCTATTCTTGATATTGGAACTGGAAACGGCGTCTTCCTTGTTGAACTGGTGTGTTCCATTAAAAATAAATGACTGCTGAGAAAATAAAACGCCTTGTATTGTTGCTCATGTACCGATTTTGCATCTCAAGATACATAGTAATTTTATATTTTTATGTAGTTGAATAACAGCAGTTTAAAGGAGTTGTTATTCTGTATTTGTCTGAAATATCCCTGTCTCGCATTTAATTTTCCACAGGCTAAGCACGGATTTACAAATCTCACAGGGATAGACTATTCAACTTCAGCTGTGAAGCTGTCACACAACATACTGGAGAAGGAAGGCTTATCTAACGTAAAAGTTAAGGTAACTCATTAATGAAACAGCTGTGTAAGGTGTTACACAGAACTTTTTAAATATGTCTCCCCCGTGTTTTTAGAAATATGTTGAATTGATTTTTTTCCTTGTCATTTACCAGCAGCATGTACTAGAGCAAACAGTATTATGAAAAATTGTTTTATGCTGAATGTTGCAGTTCTGAAAGTGAACAGCTGGTGGAAGCATTGGGCTTTACTTACAACTTTTAAGTCAACCCCCATTTCATTAAAGCTGGGGTAAAACAATTAAAACAACACGCGATCAAGTGAAAAGGTTTAGCGGATATTTTTTTAAAGATTCCTCCAGATTTTAATTTTATCACTATATAATGTTTGATATAGTGATAAAATTTAAATCTGGAGGAATCTTTAAAAAAGATCCGCTAAACCTTTTCACTTGATCGCGTGTTGTTTTAATTGTTTTACAGTTTACTGTCTAAACTGCTCTTACTGTTCAATGAAATAGTTGCACTTTCAGTATAGTATACTCTGCCCCTAGGATGTTTTTCCAGTGTGAGGAATCTCTGCCATGTTTATTTTGCAAGGGGAGAGACAGCACCAGAGAGGTGCTAAAAGTAATCAAGGGTAATCTTGTAAAAGTCTGACAAATTAACCGCCTCATTCATTGCCAAGGTTGTTTCCACTTGCACTATGCATAGATTCATGCTGGACTTCCATATACGTGAGAATGGTGTCCTGTGGTAATGCATATCTTGGCAGATGGCTTGGTGGGGTCAATATTTACCCTAGTTTTGGCACTTTCCTCTTTATTGCTTAGTGTAGGGAATTTACTGCCAACAGGTAAGTCTCCCAGGCAGCAATGTCTGGAAAGTCACGTGATGAAACTGTAGCTCATCCTCCCTTTCATATCTAACTAGCTTGTTCTACCTCTCTGTAAGGATTTAGTTGAGCCTTAATTTAGTTGGATGATGGTCAAGGTAGTAGAATGGAATGGAGTTATACTGCACAACCTATTGGACACACTACAGTGGGGCTATGTGTCTCCCCCTGGCAGGAGAATTGCACCTTCAATGCCAAGCGAGTGCCCTGAATGCATGACAGCATCAGACAAGAGCCTGCAGTCCATAAGAGATGTAACAAAACACAAAGGTCAACTGTCCAATGAGGTGGCGAGCCACAACAGCATGACTCAATACCGGAGCACAACTGTACTGCAGAACATATTCTTTGCCATCAATGCTAAAAAAATGAAATACAGTCAGAAATGAATGTAGAAAATGGGATCTGATTCAAAATCTTTATACAATTTTTATGGTTTCTAACATCAGAGAGGCCTGTGTAAATTAATACAATGTTTATTCTTATTTGCTGAAAAATGTGTAAATACTTCTAGAAAAAGCTTTATTATTGCTAAGGATAATGAATAGATAAAGACATATTTACTCACACTTGTTTATTTGTGCTGAATTTAAATGGTTGGTTTTTTCCTCTTTTTTGATTACAGGAAATAGACTTCCTTAGTTTCTCTGAGGAGTTGGGTAGTTTTGACGTGAGTATAGACAAGGGCACATTCGATGCCATAACTCTTAGCGTCGATGCTAAGGATGATGGGAAAGAGCGCTACGTTAAAGCTCTTCTGGGAGTGCTCAGGATGGGCGGATTCTTTGTCATCACTTCCTGTAACTGGACTAAAGAGCAGCTGCTGGATATATTCAGCAATGGTGAGTGGCCTTCTGGTTAATGTCCACCTTCTGATGTCTGTGATGGCTATTGTTCTAAAAGTAATGTGCTGTCATTTTCACTCTTCCTCGACAAAGCAGCAATTCCTTGTTTTAAATGTGGCAAACTAGACAGTAACACTTTATATGAGGGGGCTCTGTTACAACCCGGTGCAGGGTCTGACCGTAACATAAGGAGAAAGACGAGTGGTAAAGTGAACACAAAGATTTATTGTGGTTAGCTGGTGGGAAGACAAGTATTTACAATATTCACAAACAATTGATAAGTTACACATCTGCCCAAAAATAATATAGTACTACACTCTTAGTTAACGTGTTAATTATCCAGAAAATAAGTGTTACTTAATGATCCCATGTTCGTTCATCATTAATTAGTCATAACTGTTCATGTATTTCATGCATTTACTATATTTGTTCATGATTTGTCCTTCAGTAGTGACTGAGTTACTAATTTTAAGTTATTGGGCCTTTTCAAGTAAAGTGTCACCAACTAGTCTGGCAGATTAATCTTTCTGGAATCTACTGGAGATGTTAGGGGTCGTGGTTTAATGAAAGACGCTTAATTAACGGTGGTGGGAGATGCTCTCAGTTACTCTCAGTTATTCCGTTAATTCCCCTGGAATCAGTAACAGGAGGGAAAACTGACCAATCTGTCAGGCAGATTATTTAGAAATGCCAACCATTCAAACTGTCTTGTAGCCTACAGAGGTGTTCTAAGTTTATAAAATGTGAAATTCCAGGAAGGCAGACTCTAAGGTTGCAACTGCTGGAAGTATCTTATCTACTTGTAATCACCACCTTTAAACGTGTCTGTACTTTGCCCTACAGGGTTCAAGTTCCTGCATGAGCTACCCACACCTGGCTTTCAGTTTGGTGGCAGAACTGGAAATAGTGTCACTGTCTTGGTTCTTGAACGAATATGAGTTCTGATGTCACACCAAACAGGACTGCGTGACAAGTTTTCCCCTGCTCTGTTAGATTGTCAACAAAACATGTTTGAGTTCAGTTTACGACTTAAGGATTTATTTTGGTTGAACATCCTGAAGAGTAACTTTCATTTTGACCCAGGTTTGTGAAATTGATAGGCCATTACATGCTGTCAGTTTTAAACTATGTATAGATATATTGATGTAGTCATTAAAAATATCCTACCTCATCCATTCTCTCTTGTATAAATATGCCAACTTAAGGTTGTTTTTTGAATGGCCTAGAATGCCCCGGATTATTGCTTTCTTTAACCTTATATTCACTAAGAAAGGTTTCCATATTCAATCACTTCTGCACTTTCTCTCATTAGCATAAGGATATAATTTTCAATTTTGGTGTGGTTGATATAGTTTGATATAATTCATTTTGATGTCTTTGGGAATAGAACAGTAGGTGGGGTTGTTCACGAACCTGCAATGTTTCATTTTTTGTGGCCGTGCTTTACCTTGTCCTTTTTGTGTACTGTCATCTGTTAATAGAATGAGGACTTAACTCAAACAACATTACTTTATTCTTAGGTAGGCCCATTATGTAAAAAGCTTAAAAATCTGTACGTAATTACTTGGGAGGTTAATTATTACGCTGCCAATGAAGAAACCAGTAATCACGTATCTTACGATAAATATTACTGTGTTATCTGTGCTTTTTTTCTACGAATTCAAAAATTTTACTCTGGCTAATGAGGCTGCATGTTTTTAAGATTTTCCACAATATTTTTGTAAAGGCTATACGTACATTCCCGTATGTTTATCAAACTTCATATTAGTTGTACAAAAACTAGTTAATTAGCAATAGATCAAAAATCTATCTGGGTTATTGTTTTAAAAAGCAGGTGCTAAATTTATTGTATATTCTTTTTTAAGTATATATCAAAAATGTTTTAATTACTGTAGTGTGAAACATAAAAATGTATGGAGGTTGCATCACCTCTGTTTGGGCTCCAAATCCATGAATACTGTACAGTGTTAGATTACGAAGAAAAATAAAATATCAGTGTTTTTCCATTGCTTGTACACCTGGTCTCATAATATGATTTTCACATATTGATTAAATTACTTATATAGCTGCGGTTTTAGTGGTTGTGCAGTAATGTGGAAATTGGGGGAAACCCTCTCCTCTACATTTCAGTCAGTCATAAACTTTGACACGCTAAGGGGGGGAAAAACTGCAACCTTGTTTCAGGGACCTAACAAAATATTAATTATGCAACTGACGAACAAATTGAGTTTTTTTTTTTTTTTTTGTTAAATCTGACGCTTGGGTTTATTTATTATTTCCATGATCCTCATCACTTTAAAACTTGAACAAACCCAGAAACTCGTGTAAGGTAAGTCGAATTTACTTACGGAGGGTACTTCAAATTTGAAAGACATAAAACGCTAAATGTACTATATAGGAGATCGGTGCGTGCACGACACATGGTAAAACTAACACAAGCAATGTTTATACACTCGCTACACTGGACTCCAGTAGTTCTATCGACCCTGCCCCCTCCCCGCACGCCACTTTAAACAACTCGGACGTGCGCATATGCATGCAATTTTCAAGGGTGAGACGCCATTTATTTAACGTCTGTGATTCAAATATTCTCATTTCCTTGAGCTTCGTTATATTTGTATGTGTAATGTATATGTTTATTATTATTTGTGATACAGTAGCAATAATAAAGGTTGTGAATGGTGCTTTAATTTACTTTAAATGGCTTCCTGACACCCCCGCCCCCCGCCGCCGCAGAGATGGTTCGGTCGTGTGCGGATATTGTTACTGACGCTGTTTAAGTTTGCGGTCGGCTGAGGGGCCGCTGGATGCAGCCGCTCGGCTCAGCTGGGAGGACCGAGGTGCGCTGGAAGGTGCCCATGAGGGTTAGCACGCCTTTTCTGCTCTTTTGTTATGCAGGTCGAGGATAACTGCACTTTTCCACCAACACTGTCGATCAGGTAGTTTAGCATTATAATAAATAATACCATATACCAACCTGAGTGCTGTTCGGGACTTTTGAACGCTAGAGCATTCGGTATAAGCGAGGGAATCTTCATTAAAAGTTATGTCTTTTAAGTTTTTAAGTTAGTAAGTAAGTGACATTTTTTCAGGTGCTTCTTTGTCACTTTCGATTTCTGGTATGATCAGTAGTAATTTTCTTGGTAATAGGTGGTCTAAAGTATTATTAACAAGCTAGTTTGCTAGAAAGTCAACTAACAAGTTTTCTATTCTGTGACGACCACGCGTGATTTGTAGTGGTTTGCTAAAGCAGCTGTGTACATTAGACGATCAGTTAAGGGATAGTATTTCTGTCTGAATACCTCACTTTATTCTCTGATCGTGTTTTCTTACTAAACCGCAAATACATCCGCTTAAATCTGAAGTTTTATAAGTGATGTGCTTTGATTACTCTATAGTTTTAATATTGTAGCCTTTTTTGTTTTCCTGCTGGTGGTCTTGATACTGTTTTCTCTTTGCTTTTTTGTAAATAAAAGGTTACATACTTTACTTGTGCGCAGAACAGCTGTGTTATGGATCAGCCACCGAGGGAGAAGTTGATTGAGAGATCATTTGCTTTGTTACTAGGATCTGTCCGGCTTCTTAGACAAAAGCATTCCTGCCTTCATGGCTCTTGTCTTGAAAACGACTGAAGGCAAAAGCAAAAAAAAGAAAAAATCTTATCCACGGGGTCTTGATACTGTAGGGGTCTGCACATTTCTTCCTGGGACCATGTGAGCTAACTTTTGAGCTGAAATTAGCAGGCAAGTTACAGCTCATAGGAGTGTGTTCAGATTTTTTTCAGTGATCTGCATAGTTTGTTTTATGACTTTGGTGATCTCTGTTGACACACGAGGAAGTTAGTGTTTTTTCTTACAGAGATGTAGTTTAACACATCATATAGTTGACTACCATAGTTTTCTAATTCAAGCTTTTCTTCATTTTATTTTGTGTTTCAGCTACAATGATGCTGGCTTGCATTGAGCATGCAGAGAACTTTAACACTAATGTCATAAGGATAAAAGTAATGCAGAAGAAAAACATGTTGCATTGGATTGCACTGTAGTTTTGCAAGCAGGACTTGGCTGTTTAATCTCTGCCTTGTCCTAACTGCATCTGCTGCCAGGTCTGGCCTGTGCTTCTGGTTTTTCTGTGTGATCAGTTGCAGTTTCCAGCATCATTGAGTTGCCTTTGAACTGAGGTGACTGATTTAAGGTGACTGTGCAGGCAGCCTAGTTAATAAAATGAAAAGAAAAAAAAATCAGAAGCTGTCCCCAAAGAACACTCAATTACTGCAAGAGGCAAGCGTTTGTGAAAGCTCGGTGTTAGGAAATTGGAGTATAGCATAAAAGGAAGGAATGCATTATGTATTATGCTGTTTTTCTTGTTTTGTTGATCTTTGTGTGTACTTTACAGTCTTACTGAATAACAGATCTGCTATGGTGATATACTCCTCGATCAGTTTTTCCTTTAAGATTTCTGCTGAATTTTGGTAGTCTTTGGTTGGGAAGTAAGGTCTGCAGTGTCTGGGTGAGCTCTTTAGACAGAAAGTGAACAGTGCAGAACTTCCTTTGGCCTAAATTCACTGATTTGTACCTGCTTCTCAAACGGGATGGATGATGTGGAGATGAGAATTGACATTCCACTCCAGTCCCTCTTTCTGTGCAATCCCGATCGATTTTGGCATATCCTGTGCATTTCTGTCTCCTTGTTCCTTTACAGGCAGTCCCCGGGTTAAGAACGCCCAACTTACAGGCAACTCATACTTGCAAACATATTAAAAATACACACACGCACAATTTTTTGATGCTCATTAAAACATTGTGTAGTTTCAGTGTGTCAATTTGAGGTAGAGTACAGTACTGCATGTGATTATTTTGTCATTTATTATTATTACCATTATTAAGTACTCATTCTAATCTGGGGCCTACCTGTGCTGTTTTTGTTTTTCCCTTTACTGAAAGAACTTGACAGAATACTGCTGTAAACGTAGGATTATTAAGCAGTGGGAGTATGCAGGTATTTTGTAAGAGGAATATTGCCTCAATAGTTGCCCGTTCTGCAGAGGTACAGTAGGTATGTTTTTTTTGTTCACTCTGTTGCATTATTTCCGTGGTACTTAGTGAAAATTCTTGCATAAACATATTGTCCTACAGCAAGTAGGTCATGGTGCGTGTGTGTTTTTAAGAAGCATTTTTTTAAAGTGGATTCAGAGGATGCATGGCAACCTTCGAACATCCTAATGAAAATTGGATCTATATTGATATGTAAATTTGAGTTGCCCCTCAGTAGGCTTAGATCTACACTAAAACTTCCTTTTTTTTGGAAGCCAGGTACCAAAGTAGGCTTTCTTCTTTCTATGGAATAATTAAACTTGTGCATAAAAAGCATAGCCAAATGGTCCCTGTATGTTTAAGATTCGTAGATTTGCAGAGGCTTTTGTGTTTATGGTAAATGGCTCCATTGGGCCCTATTCTGTGTGGGCAGCTGTGTTCCTGTGAAACGCTGGCGGTGCCATATTCCAGCTATAGCCCCGCAGCCCAGAGCACCAGGCAAAACCTCCAAAAGGGATTGTTAGCTATGCTTGTCTTAGCCTCTTTGCGCGCACAATTTATTTTAATGATGGGCTTTCTGTTGCTTGCCCCCTCGCACCCCTTTTCAGTCATAACTGATTTGCCTTTGGTTTGGGCTGAAGTGGTAAAGCAATGTGGAATTCAAAGTGCCCCCCCCCCCCCGCCACCTTTATGGTCTTTTGTTCCTCTATAAATTCATCTAAATATATTTGATGCCCATGAAACTGGCTCGACTCTAAATACCTTCTCAAGTTAATGGAAGAGGTTTGCTTGTTTTCGAGTGTTCTGGCGCGTAGGGTTTAATGTGTACCCGCATGGGGGTTGTAACCCCTGTTTTTAAGTTACCAAATCAATCGACCATGTTAATCAAGCATTTCTGGTATTAAGCTGAGTCTCTCATTGGCTGAAAGCGTCTGTCATTAGTTGGCCGCCTCTAGCACTGGTTATTTATGTATTTATTTATTTTCAGACTGACACCCTTCATGTATGCATGAATGCCTTATCTTCAGGCATCGAAAGATCAGATACAGAGACCTGCACTCCTGGAACGAGTATGTCCAGCACAGTACAGATTGACACTTCAATACTTTGTTGAAAATGTTCAATTTCCCCATGTTTGCCAAAAGTTTGTTCTCTAATCTTATCGGACTTTACGTTTAATTTTCTGCTGCTCGAACTAATCCGTAAATTCATATGCGCCCGTCCTCATATGTTACCGAAAAGAGCTGAATGTCATCCAAGGCCTCCGGTTCAGGTGCAGGAATTCTTTTGGTATTTTATTTATTTTCTGTCTCTGCGCCCCACCCCTTTCAGTTTCTGCAGTTCCTTGATGGGGTGCAGTGATAGACCTATAGGTGTTTCCCACAGGGACCTGTGGAAGTGGTACCTGTAACTAACTGGGACAATAACTTGTTTAAAAAAGGAGCATTAAACATCTGTAGTTTGAGAGCTCTGATTGCCTCCTGAATGGAGGCTGCAAAATGGTATCCTTAAAGGACTGAAGCTTTGAAACTGCTGCTCTTGATAATACTTTTGGTGGTTGATAATTAATGTACAAAAAAATCGCTATGTTAACATTAAATATGACAGATGGAACTGACAAATACTGTGGTGTCTCCTTCTTGGAGTTTGAGGCTATTAATATTAATTTTTAATTGGTATTAAAACATTAGTATATGGAAATGCAAACTCCATTCAGTGATTCATATTTTTTTAATCCGTTTTTGTTCCATTAGTTCTCAAATAATTGTTTGTGTTGACGTTTTGCCAGCAATCAGATCAACATTATCCTGCACCTCAAGTATGTATCATGTCTGCTGTGCTTTCAAGCTTCTGTGGACAGACCTCATTTGTCTCTTGGCACCAGCACGTTGGGCTGTGATAAAGACGCGCGTGTTGATCCAGCTAATTGTTCTGCTAATTGAACCAGTTTAGCTTTCTCTCTGTGGTTGCCGGGGAAACCTGCACATGCCCACCAGGACTGGGGTCGAGAAACACTGCAGCAGAACAACGCAAGAGCTCATATCTAGGAAAATACCCTAGCAGTTGATTAATAGCTTTGGCATTCAAAAGCAGAAGCATTAGAATGCATTCTGCTTGCCCTCATTACAAACATCAAAGCAACTGTATAAATTTAAACATGCAGGCAGGGTTATAGCTAAATGCAAAGTTAAAAAGATGCCAGAGGCAATGTTTCCCCATATTTCAGTAGGCACAAGATGTGATTGGTGCAATCAAGTAGCTTTTTACCTATTAAGTGTTATCTCGGGTGTGTTAACTAATGCATTTGCACAGTCGTAGTTTGCAGAATGTTCTGTGACTGTTTTTTATGAAGTTGCTTTGTTTAAAACATACAGGTTATATGTTTGATATCCTGCTTGTAAGACACAACAAGAGGAACTGTTCGTAAATTGCCCACTAAGAATGTTCCATACATTACTGGTTTTGTAATTTAAACATTTTTAAGTTGTCAAAAGTTTTAAATGTCTCAAGAACGTACATGATTGGTTATTGTTTCTAAAATGCAAAATGCCAACCTGTGCATCCAATGTTTAATATTGCTTATCAAAAACCATTGCTTCATGTCACGCCAAGAAACCCTTATCTCGATATTGTTTTGCTGTACTATGGGAAAACTGCAACTTCATTATGCAACGTATTTTGCAATCAAATGCCTATGGTTTGTGGTGGCCATACATGAAAAGTATTGGGTGTTTTTTATGGCAAATTCAGCTAAGCTGATGAAATTCTTTGAGAGGAAATGGCATTTTTCATCATATTGCCCCTCTTTCAATGTTTTGTCTCAGAATGATTCTCTAGGGTGCTTGACTGTCGTTATAGCAGATTGTGATGGTTCCTGAGAGCATATGCTTGCTATGCATGTGAGGGACACTGCTGAAGGAAGTGATGCTTCTGTGGTCTTATGGACAGTTGAATCTGAAATGCTGGGTGAGGGAAGGAGCCAAACACCCGATCTTTCTTAATCGCCCGAGCTTTTGCTGTTGCCATCTGTAAACCTCAGGCTATTTCCACACTAAATCAGGCTCATTAAGCACTGTAAGAAGAGCCTGTCCTGCTTCTTCTGTCCATGGCTGCATCACTTTCGGAATAAAAACTTCCAAAAGCGTCCTTGACTGTGTGTGTATTTGATTGCAGGTTAAAATATGGGCTGCAGTTTGTATGTCTTTGGGCTGGTTTAGTTAAGATTCCCTGAGCAGCTGTCAGGAGGCCTGGAATTCTCTCACTGCATATCTTCTGTACGTCACCAAATGGCACTTGTGTTCCCTATCAGTGTCCACTTCTGGGATTCCATTAGTAATTGATTCCTTCTAAATGTTTCCTTCTGCCATAATATCTCAAGTCTTTTAAGCGTTCAGTTTCTCCAGCCTTTAAGTGATTGTCCTCAGCAATGAGAAGCACCATCCCATCCTAATACTGCCCTCCTTGCTTTTGAGGTTCAGCTTGTACAGTACAGAGCCCCTCTGTAACACTGCAGTGACCTTGCAAAAAGTAGTAGCTTCCACATGCTTGTTAAAAGCCACGGTCCCTCTCTCTCTCTCTCTCTCTCTCTCTCTCTCTCTCTCTCTCTTTTTTTTTTCTCTCTCCCCCCATAAAGCCAACATTAAGGGGTGACACCATGTTGGTTATTTGCATTTATGTGGTAACCCAGTATAACTGGTATGAGATATTTAATGCTGGGAAAGACCGCAGAGGCCCCACGGAGCAGTTCTTTCATTAGCCAGAACTGATTTCTATTTGCTTTTTTATTTTGAAGTGCAGGCGTGGAGTTGCTATGATACTGCCTTTATGAAAAGCCTCTGAATTCTGTGGAGAATTGCGTAAGCCCCATATGATCTTATGTCAGCAAACAAAATTGTGGCATGATTACGATAAGGATGGTAACATCCCCTGTGGAGCCAGAGAAACAATGGTGAATTCACGGGCTTTCCAGAGAGTCATGTTGAAATTGTACGGGCTTCTTCCAAGCAGTGCTTATCGTTGTTCTCCTGTAGGTAATGGTGATACATGAGATCCCCCCCCCCCCCTTTTAGAGGTATTATTTGTAATGTAACACCAATGTGACTGCAGTATTATTTACACTAGTGTGTTTTATTTTGGTTTATTACATATAATTGTCAGCATTGAAGGAAAAACTCTTTGAAATATGATTGCAGATATTTATATTCTGAGTTCAGGCTTAATGTGACGCAAAAAAGTCGGATTACCTGTCCCTCATGTGACTTTATTGAACATTATCCCATGTGATGAGCATGAAGAGTCAAAGAATATTCTTTATGCTGGTTTGTTGAAACAAAATCCCGGTCTGCACTTTTACTCTCTGGACCTGAATTACCCAACTCTGGTAGAAGGTGCAAAAGAACTGAGAACAGTGTTGCTCTAAATGAAGAAGTAGGATATTATATTGATCCCTGTGGAGAAATTCTCTATTTGCCTACCCCATCCTGCTCTCCATCAAACACACACACACAGTTGGGAGCAAGTTTGGGGATCACGGCTACAAGGGTAGATACCTATGGCGCCCGTGGAGCTGGGGGTTAAGGGCCTTGATGTGACTATTCTGCCAAGGCCAGTCTGAAGCCGGCTACCTTCTGATCACGGGTACAGGGGCTCAGCCCACCGAACCACATACCACCCATGGAAAACGTCATCACAATATAAAATTATGATCAAATATGACCAGTTTCGGGCCTTTAATTTGTAGCTTTGTTTTTATGCATTTAGGTGGTATTCATTGTGGAAGGCTACAGGTCTTAGTTTATGTAGCCTATGTAAGTGAAATGTTATCAAAGTGTTGGACAGTTGCTTGACAAATCTGTAATAAATGCCGCTACTGGTTCTTTCCATGGCTTTCCTTTTCGTGATGCTCCCATTTACCCCTATTCTCCATCACTCATGCGGCCCTCATGGGGCCATTCTCCTTCCTGATCCCTCCACCCCCGACTCTACTGAGAACCCACAGAGCTGTGGGCCTCTCCCCATAACCTGCCGTCATCCCCTGCTCAGAAAGCCTAGCTTTGGGTGCCTCTTACGCCATTGACCCTAAGTGATAAATGTAAGTAATAGGAATCATATGCATGCTGTTGGCATTGACCAACATGAGACGAAACACTAGCTGGCTCTATTCTCCCAACCCGCGGACGAGCTTGGCTCCCGTTCCTCGTGGACGGCCACCGGGGTCTTGTGATCCGTTCCTGATGTCACTTCTTTGTTTCCCACGGTTTTTCATCTTCGGGACAATGCTCTTTTGTTTCACAGACACTAGCGCGAGGGACTAGGTTACCCCTCTTCTGTGTTTCGTTCTCTCTCGATCTGCCTTGCTCTGCTATTCTGTTTTTATTCTCCTGCTACTTTTTTCCTCTTCATCCTTTTTTCTGGTCCTGTCTTCCTTTCCTTGTGTTCCCATGCTTCTCTCTCTCTCTCTTTCTCTCTCTCTCTCTCTCGTGGATTTGCCCATCTGACACTTGGGGGTAAAGGGGAGCCTCGTTGACGAACAGTGAGGTCCACGACCGTATCCATTTCGCGTCGACCAAAAGTTGAGATTAAAAGCTGCAGAAGGTGCAGATGTGAAGATTAAAAGCTGGACCTAATCAGCTGATTTACAGCTTGTGGCACCAGAGTTAGAGGAGGGTAGATGTTTGGATAACCACAAGGTCATAGCTATTCCAAGCTTGCTTGACGATTTTGTGATCTGAGTTTGACTTTCTTTGCTTTGTGCAGTATACTCCAGGATAACTAAATGACTATTAATGGAAAAATATTTTGGAGTTAAGGTGTGTAATCAAATTATTTGCCCCCTCTTGAAATATGTGTGACTCAACGTGTGCGGTAGCTGGTGCGATCTTTCAGATTTGTTTGTTTCTACGCTGTAGTGCCGTAAAAGATCACAGACTGATACCTGTAGCCTGATGGGTACACCCCAGACCTGGCACCGCCCCCCCACGCACTTGCCTTCGCCTGCCAGTTTGGCCACGAGTTTCTTGGGTGGGAAGACAAAGGCACTCGGCGAGCTGATGGCACATGTCTTTGTGTTTGCACAGGGCTCGGGGGAGGTGTGAAGAGCATTCCAGGAGAGCCTGAGGGCGATCTGCAGATGGGCAGCCAGCCACGCGTCCCACCGACCTACACGTCCCGCACCCCAGCAGTAAACATGGCACCCGATGCCCTTTGCCTGCTCTGGAATGCATTTGGGCAAAGATGTGCATTACCATGGTGATCATTTATTCTAAGTCACTGGAAAAGAAGAAGGGTGTTGATGTAACACCCAGTCAGTCACACTCAGAGCTGGTAAGATATTGCATTTGATTGGCAGGTTGCAACAGAAACCTGGTTACCAGTAAGACCAAAGCCTGAGATAAATGCAGCATTATCTGAGACCTCCCTAACACTTTTCAATTCCCTACAATGATAACTGATGGTTTGTTTTAGTTTCAAAGGTACTTTTTTGTGAGCATAGTTTTACTGTGACTGAAGACTCGTTTTTGTTACTCATAGGGATGTGGTGTGATGTGGTGTGATGTGGTGTGATGTGGTGTGCTGGCATTCACTACAGCGGTCTTCATTCTGCTTCTGAGTTTAAAAAATTGTCTCATAATTTAAAATGGTTCTTGCCAGTTAAATGTTGTTATGTAATAAAGTACCTCTGGATATGTGGAAAACAGATTTTTATGCTACAATTTGCAACAGAATTTAATGAATAGAATCCTATCAACACTGGTCATAAGCATGACAGGTTATTGGTGCCGTATTAAGTAGGCTTTTATTAAAAGGGCGTGTCGGACACTATAAAGTAAATGAGTTGTGTCTGACATTTTTGAAAGTGGTTCAGGGTTTTGCCAAAGCCAAAACCCAGCGGTCATGAATCTAAAAGGAATCCCAGTCGCATGGAGTGAGGTTTCTCCACAGCCGCGTAAAAGGACACAGCCGTCCTTGGCTGTTCCGATCCAGTTGCAGCTGAAGTACCTCTTGTGGATTGGATTAGAGCCCAGCGGGCACCAATGAGTGGCTGAAGAGTTCCCACCCTTAAGCAAGGATCTATAGTACTGTCAGGTCTACGTTTCTATCTGAAGCATAGTACTTGCTTTTGGATAGTGAGTTTTGCTCCTTAATTGTACACCTGAAGTTTGCTAACTCCTTAGCGTAACACTCCTGCCACAACACCAAAGCTGTAAGATGCCTTTGCGGACAGTAATATCTGAAATGAGCGAAGGCGATAGGGAGGCTTAGCTTTCTAAGCCATTCTGTTCTGTTTACAGACTATGAACAGAGGGACAACTCTTTTCTCCTTTGCCTCTGTGGGTAAGTGCCCCCCCCCCCCCCCCCCCCTTTCAGGGTCAGGCTGCCTTCAGCCCGGAAGGAGGTGCATTTAGGAAGGCTGCCAGAACTTAAATGTGAAGAGAGAGCGGCTTAAAATGCATTTATGTGTATGATAAGACTTTGGGGTTATGCGGCTGTTTGTTTCGGCACTTTTCCGTTGGACTCCTGCGGGCATTCTTCCCGCGCCGTTCCCTGCGACCCGTTCGCACTTTGCACCTGGGCTTCGGGCCGCAGCATCGCGTTTGGTCGCCGGTACTGTGCCGTGGCAGAACCGTCGCGTTCATTGGCGTCCTGCTGACAGATGACTCCGATGAGAGTGCGGATAGTCGATCACGGCTCCCTTCGTCGGCTTTTTGGCCCTCAGAGGCTTGACACAGGACGGACGCACCTGACACTTCCAGCCCTATCGTTAGTCAGGACATTAATAAAGAATGTTATTGCACTGTCATCATGCGGCTGATGAATGCAGAGATCACCATAATTGACCTGTCTGCTTCAAGCTTTTATATATCTTACATAGAGTACAGTCAACATTGTTACAGAAAGGTAAATGGCCTGAAGATCTATACGAGTACTAAATGTGATTTAGAAAACCTGTTTGTTTTTCCGTTACTTTCTCCGTGGAATTTTGCTCCCGATTATATCTTACTGCTGATATAATGGTTCCCAAATTTTCCCTTCCGAGATCAAGGACACGCTGTTCAGTTGTTTGAAACAATGAACTTTGGTTATAGAACAACACGGGCACAGTTGGAGTAAACCAAAAAAAAAAAAAAAAAATTGAGAGAAGCATGCAGGGTTTGACTAACAATGGACACGCGCAAACTCATCAGAAATCAATAGCGTTTTGTGTAGCGTCGGGGCAGTAATTTGCTTTGCGATGCTCTGGCTGCTGTTTGGCCCCGGCTCCACAATGGTAGGTGGCGTGTGGCGTTCAGTGTTTTGTCTCAAACTCACGTTGTGGGCATTGTTGGGATTTTTAAAGTATGAATTCATAATTCAGATGGTCCCACTGATGCTTCAGGTTAATCTCGCACATTTATTAAGGCTAGTAACCCTTCCAGGAATTTGGACAGTGAGACTGGAAAACTCTTCCCAAGGCCAGATAGTCCTTAAACATCTGCTTTTCTGCTTGGCAGGACACAGACTGGGCCCATCAGTGGCTTCCCGCCTGTTTTTGTTTTGTTTTTTTTTTTTTTATGAACTATGAAGTGACTCTTTACTCTCAAGCATTAAGTTTGAGCCAGTAATGTGGAATAATACTGCTTATGAAAGTCTAACATGGATGGTGTTCATCCATAGTTTCCATCTGACCATCTCGGATCTACTGTTGATCAATATATCACAGAGGTGTTTTATCTCTGATTTTTTTGGGAATGCAGCAGGCCCTCTTCTGGTGCATAGTGCAAGTTAATTTCTCAGAAGTGGTCTGCTTTCCCGTGTCACATAGTTCAAACTTCGGAATCCCTGTTCCAACCCTTTCAGTTGTGCTCCTTTGTGGAAATCATGAGAAAGCACCAAGTAACACCCACTTAGAATGATTCAGTTGCAGGGGTCTGTTTGATTCCAAAACTCTAATTCTAACATTAACCCAGTGCTGAGCTTCTGCTGATGGCTTAGTCACATGATGTTGCATCCGAGCAGTGATAGGATGGTGTTGCCATGATCCCGGTTGTCAAGGTTATGGTTGTCGGAGATGTTGCATACTGTGACAGACCACCCAGGTTGCAGGTAGATTTATTTACCTTGCCTTTGAGCTGCTATTACTTGTGGTTGTCTTACTGCCCTTGATTGCGTTTAGTAGGTAGTTCATGTGCTGCCGATTTAATTAGTAGGGCATTCTTTAGCTTGTTTTTCTTAATTATAGTTGTGTTATTTTTACTTTAGGACAAAGATTTCCTTCCTGCTTTGTAAATGTGTGTTAGACTACAAGAAATGTGTATATATAGGAATATAATTTAATATTTGAGTAGATGCTAGCTTATTTTAAATTACACGTTTGCTGCAAATGACCTGCCTTAAGATTGCTGTATGCTTGTACATAAGCAGTTTTATTTATATGTTTGTGCCCCAACATGTGGACATGGCTAATGGCGACTGCATGTGCCTGTTTGTCACAGAGGCCGATCGATGGCGGGACCTGGGGCAAGGGTGCGGCCTCCAGCAGGACGAGAGGAGTCCCAACCTGGAGAGCCTGTGGGGTACGCTGGCCGAGGTACGCCCAAGGAGCCCCTTCTGGGCCCGGGAGTCGGACCCAACCAACATTCCCATCACTGACCTGATCCAGGACCTCAGCCTGAGTGACGTCAAAGCCACATCTTCACCCTCGGCGGCGCCCCCTAGCAAACGACAGTGCCGCTCCCATTCCCTCTCTGCGTGGCGGCCGCAGGGCTCGCGGGTGTGGATGCCTGTGGAGAAGCGGCGTTGCCACAGCGGGGGGAGCGCACAGCGGGGCTCGGCCGGCCTGCCCGGGGGCTCGCCCACCATGCAGCGGAGCTCCAGCTTCAGCCTGCCGGCCCGCTCCAACGCTCTCGACTTCTCCTGCTTCTCGTTCGCCGGCCTCCAGGAGCCTCCCAAGGCCCTCTCCCTGTCTCGGGAGCTGATCATCCCCACAGAGCCGCGGTACAGCTCGGCCTCCGGCTCTCCGGAGTCCATGCCGGAGTTAGGCAGACGTCTGGCCCCGGGGGGGGGACTCTCCCGAAGCCGCTCGCAGCCCTGTGTCCTGAACGACAAAAAAATCGGCATGAAGCGCAGGAGGCCCGGTGAGGGCAAGGAATCGAGGCCTTCCCTGGACTTGGCCAAGATGACCCAGGTCAGTGATAGCTGGCAGTCTGAGCTTCTAAATGGGCCGTGAATTTGTAAACGGCCTTCGCTGAAACTGCAGACAAGTCCTGTTTTAAAAACAAAATAAGTACTTCAGGAGGTTGTTTACGGTTTTAACAAGGTTACTGCAATACTTGCTAGACTTGTTGCCTGAGTTAAAAAGTATAGGTGAGCACATCTTCAAAGTGCGAAGCCATTGCAGTAATTAAGGTTCAAAACCTGTGTTTGGAGAAAATGACGACTCAAAACATGCAAGGAATTGTCAGCATAGAGCAGATTTATTTAAAAAAAAAAAAAAAAAAAAAATATGCACAATGA